TACTACTACTACTTACTACTACTAACTATTAACTAGTAACTACTAGCTACTAACTACTAACTACTAACTACTACCTACTAACTGCTAACTGCTAACTACTAACTACTAATTACTTACTACTCACTACCTACTACTTACTACTTACTACTTACTACTTGTCACTTACCACTTACTACTTACTACTTACTACTTACTACTTACTACTTACTACTTTTCTACTTACTACCTAGTAGTTACTACTTACTACTTACTACTTACTACTTCCTACTTCCTACTTCCTACTTCCTACTGACTACTACCTACTACCTACTACCTACTACCTACTACCTACTACCTACTACTACTGCTACTACTACTACTACTACTACTACTACTACTAGTACTAGTACTAGTACTAGTACTAGTACTAGTACTACTACAACAACAACAACAACAACTACTACTACTACTACTACGACTTCTTTTGAACCTACTGCTACTGAGTAGGTGCATGACCTCAGGATTCTAGAGGTACTTGGCCGACAACTCGTCCGCACAGGAGTCGTGCTTAGACTGTTGAGGGCTGAGGGTTTAGGGTTTAGGGTTTAGGGTTTAGGGTTTAGGGTTTAGGGCGGGGCCTTGTTTCGCTGAAGCTTCCTGCGATGCTGCTCCGCATCATGAGCTGGCACCTATGCCTCTTCGCGCTGAGACTCTCGGTTGCCTCTAGCTACGGTAGCTACTGCTTACCCTAAGGGTCCATATATACTACCATTATGGAATCAGGCACCCAAAAACCTAATATGCATGGTCTTTTGAGACCTAATTCCATAATGGTAGTATATATGGACCCTCTGGGTTAGGGTTTACGATTCAAAGTTGTTAAAGGGTAGCTTTGTGCAGAGGGTTTGTATACGGAGTTTATGAGAGTTCCATAGGAACCCTAAACCCCTGCCAAAGATACTTTAACAGCTCCCTAACGAGAACAGTTTCTGATACAGTTGGTTACCTCCAAGGCAGTCTTGTATCACGGGTCTGGAGCTTTAGGGCTTAAGCTTTCGGGTTTCGGGTTTAGTGATGTGACCTTCCGATGACCGCTTGAGCATGGGACAAAGCTCAGAGGTTTAGGAGACTTGGGGTTTAGGGTTTAGGGACAGATATGGGTCAGAGACGAAGTGCCGTCCCGGGCTACACGAACCCAGCATGTGCGAGAGGCCGCATGCTGGAGATACGGCCCGGGTACAGTCAAACCCTAAACCCCAAACCCTAAACCCCAAAACCCTAAGCCTAAACCCCAAACCTAGACCCTAAACCCCAAACCCTAAGCCCTAAACCCCAAACCCTAAAACCCTAAACCCCTGCTAAGAGGAATTGAGGCTGAAGGGGCAGGTCCCTGTGCCCAGTAGAAGGGTGGCTTAGGGTGGAGCGCTGGGGAGGCCTGGTGTTGACCCAGAGGCTCCAAAACCCCTTAATTAAGGAATAAACCATAAAATTAGGGTTTAATTAGGGTTTAGGGTTCAGGGAATATACCTTAAATTTAAAATAGGATCCCTAATATAATTTAAAGTATATTCCTTAATTAAGCTGTTTTGGAGTCTCTGGAAACTTCAAACGCCACGATCTGCAACTTGCTAGTGGTTCTGACATAGTATCAAGGTTAGTCTAGAGAGTCTACCCTAAGGGTCCAGGTATCTCTTTAAGAGGGTCCGGAATCTCCTAGGGAGAG